ATTAGCACTAAATGTTTTTTTTTAATCATAAAAAATTCAAACTTGATCAGAATCAGCTCAAACTTGCTAAACAACATAAGAACATGTATATGTATCAGAGAATATAATAAAAATAAAAATTTCTCTCCTGATCAATTTTGACGAAATTTAGCTGAACACTTTGCACTATAGTCCAGGGTTTTTGGCGAGTTCTTATGCATCAGAAAATACTGTCACCATTGTCTATACCTGAAAGACCTTGATTCTTATTATAATTACTATATCTACAGACAAATTACTATCACTATATACTAGCTGCATGTATCATATTACCATTACAGAAGTATCACATAATCATTGACATTACTATTACTATTAGTCTATCACTCATCCCTACTATACAATTCAACTCTTCTATTGTACATGTACAATATAATTGTACACATATAAGTACATGTACATGCATTACATTACCCCTTCCCTACACTTACCAGTCACTATTATACTAATAGCATCAGTAGTACTAGCAATAGGATCACCAGGTACACTCACTGATACAGTACATGAATAATTATAACTACCAGCTGTGGTATAGGTCTGTTGTAGGGAGCTCTGACTGACAGCACCAGTTGGATTAGTAGCTGGAGTAGCACCTGATACTGAAGGGCCAGACCATGTAAGTACTTTAGAGAACACTAGAAAGTCAAAGGTCATCAGTTGCAAGGTTGCAGTACACATCAGTGTAGCTGTGTTGAATGAAGGATGATTAGGAAGGTGGTATCTTGTGGAGTTTAATACTACTGCTGGTTTAGGAGCTATATAGGGGGAGAGAGAGGGAGGGAGGGAAGGAGAGAGAGGGGGGGAGAAAAGAAATGAAGTGGTAAACAATGGTGGTGGGGGGTAGAGAGAAAAGGGAATTGGAAGGAACAAAGAGAGAGAGGGGGAAGGGTAGGTAAACTAAAAACAGTGAAAACAATATTAAGGGTGCTGCTCCACCACCCACGCACAATTTTTAATCTGTTGCTAAGGGAGCTGTTTTTCTAAAAGTACTTTAACAATCATAATGAAACCATTACTAGTTGAAAGACAGTAACTATATTAGTCTGTAAGCTAACTTGGAGCCTTTAACTCATTATAGCTATGGCATCAAGAGCTAAAATACTGAAGAATTTTCAAAAGCAAAAAACTCCTCTTACTTTCAATTTGAATTACCAGATTTCTAGGTGAAGGCAGTTCTTAACTAAACAAATTGATTAACATAGAGATATTTTCCTTTTTCTTCTTGCAATACCGTTTATTTTGATTTTCGTATTGATTGACACTACATTTTATTATACTAGCCCTGTTTAATTGAAATATCTCTATGCTACTGTATGTGTAATCATATAAATATGCTCCATTGTAAATTTGGTCTGATTCTGAGCACCACATGCAAAGTTTTTTGAAATTTTGCATTTTCTGGCATAAAACACCAATTTTATAATCTAAATTTTATTTTACATCTTTTTGGGAAGCCTTAGTACTTTTACTCCCTTTCTTAAAGGTGCTTCATAAAATTGAAACCCATTTATAAGAACCTATCACATGCACTGATAGTCTGATACACACATTAAATCATACATGTATATCACATCAACTATATCAACAGGAACATGCATAATACATGTACATGTATTTATAAATAGAATTACTTACCAACAATGTCATATTCATTGGTCCTGCTAATAGAAGCATTGACAATATAACTTGATACATAATTAGACGACACGTTGACCATGCAAGTGTATATACCAGAATCCTCAGAAGACACAAAATATTGAAATTGTAAAGTCTTTCGATACTGCCCTGCACTAGGATTACTTGATAACTCTTGTAGGTTTTTCCTCCCATTAGAAGAAAGTCCAGAAGGAACAATTGTCCCATTGAATAGTATATCAATGCTGACAGTGACTGTAGGATCATTGTGTATGTATAATGAATCAATGGAGCATTGAAGGTCACGTCTGAGGCCAGCATAATAGGGTGGAGATAGA